TTTAACGAAATCCAACGGTCGGATTAAGATTTGGACACCCGGATGCAAAAGTGCAGCTTTTTGGTAAAAACCATTTTCAAAATTGTCCAAATCTCATCCTAATAGTCACAAACCTGTGGGAACACTTTGGACACGTCAAATAAGACTAAAAACACCTGATAGAACATTCAAATGATGGAAAAACCCCATATATCAAAATTTAACCTCCCGGGTGCCATTTCCCAAAATGGACCCTAAACCCCCAAAATGCACAAATCATACAAGAGTGGTCATAAATCAATCCAAATACCATGTATTTATATAAATACATATGCTAAACATTTTCACTTGGCTCAGAGCTCCTTGTGAGGCCCACGCACCTACTCTCTCTATCCAAGGTGTATGTTTGCCCATAGCACATCATTTGCAATGCAACCACTTTGCATTTGCTTATAAAATCACATATATATCAAAATAAATATCTGCTTGTAATAGAAACTTGGTCTACTAAGTAAATCCATCAAAACCACACACCATAACCAAGTTTCCTAGCCACAAGTCTGCAAACAGACAAAAATTCAGACACAAGCACACAATCCACACATATTCACACGCGCACACACATAATCATATCCTACTGGCACCCTAATCTTAAATACATTACAATATATTTGCTCAAAAGAAAGGGGTTGCAGTTCTTTACAAATCACAAGCAAACCCCTAGCTTTGCTCCTTTCCCCGTCCACCACTGGATCCTTCGCCTGGACCTAGAATATTGAAAAGAAAGGGGTGAGACAACCACAGTCTCAGTAACAGTGAAATCTACATTGATTATTACAAAGTAAGCTATAATCAAATAAACGAATAATAAATTCAACATAGTATATAATTTAGCCATTTAAAATGCATGAATGCATGACCTAGGCCGGTATGGCCTTTCATGACCAACAGAATGCCCCCTGGGGCTCTTTAACTCGCAGGTAAACCTTATACTTACTTGTACCTCCACAGGCACAAAATATAATCTAAGGCATGATCTAATCCACCGAACCTCCTATGCCCCTTCGACGTGAATCCTAAGCAGTTAAAGCTAACTCCCTCCCAGAGCCAGCCCAACTTACTTTCCATGTGAGGGCTACCTTGGCCTAGGCACTCAACCTCACACTTCATATGTTGGATTCCCTCCCCCACTGAGAGGTGTCGAACACTCAATACACTAACCACTTTAGTGCACTGAGCCCACAATACGTAAGACAACACTGAGTACTGACAGTGTGCCATAGAATATCAAAAATCCACACCTTCTCATTGGTGAACTCCCACCAAGATCATGCCTTTTACTCTTGTCTACCTTTCCTAAGTATTGACCATTCAACACTCTAAAGTAGTATAATATTTATAAATCTCATTTCCATAAAAACATTGTTATTAAACAATTAGAAAATATATTTGCACTATAATCAAAGTAGTACCCTATAACCCCTTATAAAGCACATTTAATCTTTTAAAACATGTAATGCATGATAACTAGTAATATTTATTCAAAAATAGCTAAAACAAAGTAATAAAAAATATAAATTCCCCTGTTACCTCAACCCTTTGGTACCAAAAGGGTTTCCCTTATACAAAATAGGGCTCGGCTTGTTCCTTACTTCTTAATAAGTTCCACCAATAATTTTCTACAACATATAAGTGATCCACATCACTTATCATGACAAATAGCATTAATGAAGACTATAACTCATACCACACAACTTAGGTCAATGAGTCATAATCTACCCTAATGGTCTATATATTAAACCAACCATTCACATAGTATCACCAACTTTCACCATTAGCCCTTATAATGAAAACCAAACCTTAATTTAAATCTTACTGGGCTCAAATAGCAAAATTATAACTGAATCAATAAGCTTAAACCATTGAAGAGCAAAAACCCAACTTCTCAAGGTTTATTTTGTGCCCAAAACACCTCTTTTCATCCAATTATCCACTCAAAACATTAGATCACTACATAAAAACTCAAAACATGCTCCCTAGGATCCAAAGAAATAAAAGCTTACAAGAATAAAGCCTTTGGGATCAAAATCCAAAAATTTCCTCTTTCAAAAATTGAAGAAAATCAAGAGAAAGAGAAAAGGATTGAAGTAGGGAGTTTACCTATCGTGTAGCCGAGCTCGCAACGGTCGCAAAGACTCCTAGATCCAAGCCTAACTCCCTCCCTTTCTCTTCTCTTCTTCCTCTCTCTCTCTCTACTATTTGTGTGTTTCTTTCCTTGCTCATTTTCTCTGCGTTTCTGGTCTATTTTGCTCTTTAAATTGCTGGTCAAAAAGTTTGGGGAAAATTACAAGAAAGGGCCCAACATTTTTTATTATTGCACAAAAGCCCGGGTCAACTTTGGTAATTTTTCCCATAGTTAAAAATCAAATAAAACCAAACTTTTGCTTAGTAAAATTCAAACTCTAGGCCTCTATTAAATTATTCTAATTTTTAATTTAATTATAGATATTTTATTTTATTTTTATTTATTTTTTAAATAAATTTGAGTCTTAAAATTTTTAGGATGTTACATCCACTCTGATCAAGCCCTCTTTGCATTGATTGTTACTCCGCATGCATGCCTTGGATTTAATGTCTTCAGCCAATAAGTTAATGAGTCACTTTCTTCGCTTACAAACATTAGCCAACCACATCTATTAGTGCATTTCACTCGACATCTCTCTTTATCATTTTTTATATAGTCAAATGCATAACCATTCAACAAAGAGTGCTCCTTTAGAGTATCCCTAAATTGTTTGATTGAAGTAAACTCCATCCGTAAACTAAATTTGAAGTCCTTACACATCTCATTTGGATTGTACTTGTAGTATCTTGTTATCAGCTTATCTTCATCTTCATCAATTGCATATTCTTCATATAACTCCTCATCTTTTAATTCTGATAACAAATCATCAATGTTCTCATCTAACACTCTAGAGGAAGAAACAATTTGTACATCTTCATGTTGGTGGTCTAACACATTTGAATAGCTACTACAACCTTGTCCCATACCATCAACTATGTCAATGCCAATAAATTCATTGAAGTAATCATCACCCAAATTTACTTCATCACTATCATCCAAGTATTCTAGCATTTCATCCTCACTCATTCCTTCTATGTTTTCTTCATGTTCCATCATATACCTGAAATTTAATATCATAACATGCATATTTGATGATGACACTAAATCATATAAACATATATGTAGATAATATATTGATTTTCAAAGGACACGTGAAGATGCCAATTACATTACCTTACACTAAAAAATCATGACAGCACTTAGTTTAATATTCTTTTTTGATATTATTTGTACTCAAAGCCTCCATTATCCTACATTTAGATTTAACCAGGGAAGCTATATAAATGATAGAAAAAACTTCCTAACATAAAAAATTCAATTTCAGGGGTTACTAACTAAAAGAAATCCTAGCACATCTTTGACTAAAGGCCCATAACTTTTATATTTATAGAAAATTCCATCTTGCAATTTATATCTGTAAATTATATCTATAAAAAATTTACATCTTGCAGAATCCCAGCACGTCATTCATCTACTCCTATGCTGTAGCTTCGTTTCGTATTGTGATTTTCTTGTTGGAAAAAAACTCTCGCCTGATCCTATCTCCATTAAAACATCAACTTAGTCCCATCTTCATTCAGTGATAGAAAAAAAAAGATTCAGAGCAACGTTTTCTCTCTGACCTTCTCTTCTTCACTTCTTTGTTTCACTAGATGGAACTCACAAGCATAAACTCGACTTACCTAGAGGGAGAAAGGATGATGAAACAGAGAAGACAGTTGACTAACCTTATGGAGCTCAATGATGATGATTTTGCCTCCTTTCCTGCATCGATATTAATGGAACATAAGAGACAATGGCAACCCTAAATGTGAAGCTTCTTGGTTACGCTTCTTTACGTCTTTAGTATACATGAACTGAACAAGTTTCCTATTTCCAATGTTTTTTTTAATTTTTGGTGCTCAGTCAGATTTGATGAAAACAAAATCCCCATTATATTTCCACATAATTGTTACTTAATAAAATTTTTAACACCGTTAACATTTATTAACAGTTTTAAACAAAAAGGACCAACTGATGTAACAGAGTAAACTTGAGGGACTCGAAAAAAAGAAAAAAAAACTATAAGGACCTAGTTAAAAACTCAATAAAACTATAAGGACTGGGGGATTAATTTTTCCATTATTAAATGATAATTTAGTTTCTCGAAATTCCATAATATCAATGAATTCTCTAAAGACCTTAGAAAAAAGACCATTTTACTTTTATTAACAAATTATAATTTTTTATTCAATTCTTGCAATTCTTTGAAAAAAGTTATAATTATTCAAATAAAAGTTGTGAATAGAATTTGTTATTTTGAAAACTTATTTTTTAATAATAAAAATTACACTTGACAAATTATGATTTTTTATTCAACTCTTACGATTCATATAACAGAAGTTGTAATTGGGACTTATTTTTTAATAATAAAAATTACACTTGACAAGTTATAATTTTTTATTTAACTCTTGCGTTTTACATAATAAAAATTATAATTTTTTAAATAAAAGTTGTGACTAGATTTTATTCTTTCAACAAGGATACAATGGTATTTTTTTAAAAAAATTTATTGATAAAGTTATAATGATATTTTGAAAGATCAAATTATTATTTATATAATTTTAAAAAATTTATTATCATTTTTTTTCTAAAATTAAAGGACTTATGAAGTTTGTTATAGGATCTACACAAACATGGCCATGCCCATTTGTCGCGTACCATGCCAAACGATAGAACAAAAAGAGCAAAAGATGTCAGAGATATGACCAAAAAGGCAAAAAAAAAAAGAAAAATAAAGAAAAATAGAAGTAGCAAGAATACCTATAATTCTTTCGAGGTGGAAAATGATAGGTTGTTCTGCAAGGTTGACTTCTTGATTCAGTGTGGACACAGTACCCAAGAATTAAATAGGAAATGGCAAATATATAGACTGGAGAGGCGACTATTGCTGGAGAAACTAGTGAGAATGGAAGCTCAAGCTTGATTTGGAGAGATCAGAAACAGAATAATGGATCTTGCAGGTAAAATATTTAAATGAGAAAGGACACAAATGAATCATGATAGACATAAAACTTAATTTTATTCTAGATACTTCTCAACTGTGCACATGTCATTTATGCATTGGTTATAATCATCTATATATATAGCAAAACATTTTACATATTTAGGAATTATACAATATAATGTTTATGTGTATTACTTTACATTTTGTTTGCTTTGTTTTTACTCTCTCCACTTTTGCTTCAACATGGCATCAAATCCTTTGAGCTACTCTCAGTATGACTACTCCAAAAACACCACCCTACTCTTCTGCCACCACCACCATCACCTTACTATCTGACCACCGTCATAGTTTCATCACTTTGTTATTGTTTGATTCATTGAAGAAAACTATCTTATATGATGAGCTCAACTTATGCCTTACTCGTACGGCCAATAACTCTTTGGATATATCGATGGCTCCATCTCTTCTCCTCTACCAAAAACACCCATTGGCCTCCCTAATCGAGACTATCTCCTTTAGTTTCAGCAAGACCAACTTATCCTCTTTGTACTTATCGCCTCCCTCTCTGAAAAACTTATCCCTCAAATTCTCCATCATAAAACCTCTTGAGCCATGTGGAGAGCCTTAAAAACCTTATTCTTATAACAAACCCAAGCTAAGTTAGTTCATCTTCATCAACAAATTACTACTATTATGAAAGGAGGACAAACCATCTCTGACTATCATTAACGAGCCACCATTCTCACAGACTCCCTTACTGCTGCTGTCAAGCCTATTGCTAATGATGATTTTATCACTTACTTCCTTACTAGATTAGGGTTTGATTACAACAATATTGTTACCTCCCTCACTGCTCAACATCATTTTCTCACCATCAAAGAAATTTTGAGTCTCCTTTTTATCTATGAAGCATGTGGGTCCAAGGAGAACTCCATCCAACTTCCTCTTGAAATATCTGCCAATGTTGCCCAAAAGTCCCCCTAAGTCCTCTTCTTCTTCTAATCCAGTCTTCTGTGTAGGTCGAGGAGGTCGTTCATTCTAAAATCCTTATGGCAAAGGCTCTCGAGGTAACTTTCATGGCTGAGGGGAACATTCATACAGAGGATGTCGAACTCCCTACTTTGTCTTTCAACCCAAATCTAACCCACCTTGCTAAATATGCCAAAAGTATGGACATAGTGCACTTGTTTTCTTTCAGTGGTATAATTATCTAGTTCAAGCACCTCCTCCATCTATAGCCACTCATTACTCTTAATACTCCTATATTAATGACTCTCTTTGGTATCCTGACATTAGTGCTACCAATCATATGACCAATGATCTCTCCAAGCTCAATCTCAACTTAGAACCACATCATTAAACTGACTCTTTTGTGTCAGTGATGGCTCACCCATGCCCATTTAACATCAAGGCGTAGCACTACTTCCTACTCCTTCTGGCAACTATCTTCTCTCTAATCTTTTACATACTCCTTCTATTACCAAAAACCTCACATGTGTTAATAAATTTTATGAAGATAATAATACTTTCTTTGAATTTCACTCTTCCTTTTTTGTGTAAAGGATGAGCTTACAAGGAAAAATCTTCTTTAAGGTTCCATTCACAATAGGATATATTCTTTCATTTTCTCCACGTGTCCTCAAGCTTACTATAATGCCCGTACTTCTCTTTTTTAGTAGCATCACCGTCTCGGTCATCTAGCCTTTCTCATAATTCATCAAGTCTTAAATAACCATTCACTACCAATCACCAACAAACAAATCCTTCATCAATGTTTTGCATGTTGATCATCCAAGATTCATCATTTACCCTCTCTACTATCACCTCATCATTCTAATTTTCCTTTTGAATTAGTATTTTGTGATGTTTGAGGACCTTCCCTAATTGTCCAGATTTATGTGGCTTTATCCTATTCATACTAAAGATCATGTTCATTCTATCTTTCACTAGTTTCGTCACATAATTACCACTTATTTAAACTCTAGCATCCATTCCTTTCAATTTGATTAGCGAGGAGAGTTTCGATCCCTCCATTAAGACTTACAAGACTTTAAATTTTTTATTGTATTACATGCCCACATACGCACACTCAGAATGTCACCATTGAACGTCGCCATCACACAATTATAGAAATAGGCCTTGCTTTAATGCACCACACCTTTGTTCCCTAAAAGTATTGGTCATACGCCTTTACTATAGCTATTTTTTTTTGCTCAATCATCTTCCTACTTCTACTGTAAAAGGTCAAAGTCCATTTGAAATTTTAGTTCATACATCACCCAATTATGATTTCTTGAAAGTATTTGGTTTTGCTTGCTGGCCTAATTAGAGACCATATGCTTCTCACAAACTTGCTCCAAGATCCTTCACATGTGTGTTCTTAGGCTATGCTCCTAATCATTTAGGGTACCTCAATCTTTATCTTCAAACAAGCTGAATTTACATTCCAAGAGATGTATTATTTGATGAAGCCCAATTTCCCTTTTATCAACCTAGCCCATTACTACATGTCAATATCATCTCATACATTAGCCTACCTTTCATTTCTCTTAAGCCTCCACCTTTAGGCCTAACAACTTTACATAACCCTAGCCCCCACCATCTACTCACTCCTATCCTACACCTTCTTTATCGCCCTTATGCTTTGACAACACTTGCTTGCCTCCATCTTCTTCTCCTAATCTATTTGATTCACCTGTTCCTTCTCCTCTAACCATGCCTATCCCATCGCATCCTATGGTGCTGAGATCCAAGTCTAATATCTTTAAACCTACCTCACACTATTCTGATTTTACTTACCCACCACACTCTCACCAAACCTCAAGACCTTCACCCTCTATCCTTACTTCAATTTCTTTTTCCCTCAAAATCCCAGAATGGCAATAAGCCTTCTATTTAGAATTTCAAGCCTTGCTTTTTACTAATACTTAGACTCTTGTTCTATATTCACCTTCTATGAAACTTGTTATTTGTAAGTGGATTTTTTGAACCAAATTGCACGCTGATGGTTTATTAGACAAGCACAAAGTGTGTCTTATTGCTAATGGGTTCAACCAAAAATCAAGAATCAATTTTGCTTACACTTTCTCTCTTGTGGTAAAGCCCATGATTGTATGTATCATTCTCTCCCTTACTATATCTTATGGCTATTATTTAAGAAAAATAGGTGTCGAAAATGTCTTCTTATATGTATTCCTTTTAACATCCTAGTTTTTAATTCCTTAATTTACTAAGATTAATTAAGTAAGTTAATTAAGTAAGTTGATGTGGTGTGTGGTCAAAGGAGAATAATAAGTGTTTTTAGTTAGAATTTCAGGTATAACTTAGGTCCAAAATAAAATTGGGTCAGTTAGGGACCAAAAAGTGGAGAAATATTAGTTAGAAAGCCTCTATGCCACAAGTTGCAGTGCACCATGGTGCACCGCAATGCATAGGGCTATAAAATGAGAGTTGCCTTCTCTATACCACATGTCACATTGCATAAGGATAAGTGCTATAGTGCATAGTGCAAATTCTGTAGAAATAAGTCGGAACTTATGTGAAAATTAGAAAGGAAAGGAAAGGGAAATGGAAGAGCTCATATTTGCTTTGCTAGAGCACGATCTAGAGGAGGATCTAAGAAGGTTTGAAGCTTCAAATCATCCAAGGTAAGATTCTTAAACCCTTTTTTTCCTTTCTCTTCCCTTTTCTCAAGGATTTGAATTAGTGTTTGGATAAGGATGGTAATTTCAATCCATATAGGTTATGGGTCCAAATCCATTGACTTAAATGGAGTTAATGGGAGTTGTTTAGAGTATTTAAACTTAGTATTAATGATTTTGATGGTTGTTGGATGATGAGCTCCATTAATATTCAAAAATAGATATTAAATCTATCACTATTATGGTTGTTGAGGTATTAATAGCAATGTGGGTATTCAGTGAAGCCATATGATGTTATAAATAGATAATAAACCTAATGGGTAGGCCCAAAAGTAAGCAATGAGGCATTAGATAATCGAGAAATGGAAGATTAGAGTTGAAAAGTGTGAGATTGGCAATATTAATGAAAGTCAGCTTGATTGATTGTAGATTTAGCTCTTGGACACTTAATTGGTTTGGGAATTCAAGCTTGAAAGCTATTATATTGAGGAGTAAACCTTTGACCTCTCAAAGGTTTGAGGTGACCAGGGAAACTCTATTTTGGGTAATTATATATTAATGATGGTAAATTGATTTTTAATCATGAATGTTGCATGCATGGATTAATTTTTACTGTGAAAGCATGTATTAGCTTCAATAAGTGTATGAATATTTGAATGTGCATAATATTATTTTTGGTTTGAAATGCAAAATGTGAAATCAAGATGGTCTTCGAACTATGCACATGCATAAGTCTTTGGGAAGAGGAATGTGATGTTGTGTTAAGGTAAATGTGTGTTAATGAAGAAATGGATTAGTGTGATAAGTGAGGAGAATGTGGTGAAATGTTATTGGATGCTTACTTGGGTAGCGCATAATCATAAACCTAACGTGTGAATGTGTTAAACAACAAAGAAAAATGTGAAAAAGAGTAAGTGTCATTTATGGCATGATCAGTGGACGAGAGTTCGCTTAAGGATTGGGAGTAGAGAAAAATTCATATGGTATTTAGGTTTCTCTTCAATGTATAGGGCTATAGCCTTGTTCCATAGTTTATCAAGGGACTGTCCTATTGTTTATCAAGAGATTAGAATCTAGCTTTCTCCACTAGTTCAACAAGGAGAATAGCTTAGGGTATGAGACACCTCAAAGATTCAAGAATGGGAGAAACTGTGGTCTGAGAGTGAGTCATGTGATCTTTGGCCGATTCACACCTCACAATTGGTGAGTTTAGATTGTCCAGTCACACGGACGGAGCCCTCTTCAATGTTATAGCCCACAGTTTCAATATGAGAAAATAAAGAGGGTATAAGGTTGGTTGATCATTTCTTATGTAAATATATGATGTGTCACATATGTTTTTAAGTTGTGGCAAGTTGCAGGTTGTAG